TAAGGAGAGAGGCATGTATATATTATCTTTCAATATTTATCATTGTAGAAGTTATATCAAATAACAAGATTAATATTTCGTCCTTCGTCACCGTGATATGCATCGTCAAATATTGTTCTGTTTTCATCAGTTTATATCATGTTTCACAGTTGGTTGTAATAACCAGCTTGCTTTCTACCAGTGACGAATATTTATAGAATGTCAAAAACAGATCTGATCTATTTTACTTCATTGAGGCGCGCAATTTTCCCCTCTACACATACACTGTATTTGAAAGTGGTACATTGATCTTTTAAGTCTTTATCTATGATAACTGCTGGTTTAACTAAAGTCATCAGTTAAGTGCAGGTTGCAGGTAATCCATTCTGATGAACTCGAAAGTGTGAGTATCGATGTGAACTTGACTTTGATAGATAGTCACTATCTCAAAAGAGAAACTCGCATAAGATAGGAAAATCTGACCTAACTTGTAGATATGTTAAATGAAGTTTCCTCATAATCTTATGCAGGGAAACGAAGTCAGCAGTTATACAGATTCTGATGCAAATTAATAGTCATTATTGTTCACTTCTAGCTATAAATGATACGTTTGTTTCAAAAGATTAGCTTCATTAAATATTAGTAATCAAGAAGTATTATCGATGGCAACGAATGAGTCAGTTTCATCAACAAGAACGGATCCTGTAGAATTTGCTAATCAATCCCGAAAAGCATTCAACCATGAAAATGTCAATTTAGAATCATTAGAACTTGTTTGGTTAACACCTGAGCTAGATCGTAATACAATAATACTTGAAGTTCTGCGAAACATTATTCACTATACCAAATTCTTTGATTCTATAGAAGAATGTATACACTTTATTGAATTAAACAAAGTTACAACAACCTTCCTAGTTTGTGATGGTTCGTTAGGTGAAAAATTAGTTTCACAAATTTACGACATGAAGAATATTTATGCAATTTATATTTACTCCCAACATGAGAAATATCATCAAGAGTGGCTTGAAAAATATTCAGAAAAGGTAATTATAATTTCTCATAGGTATGTAGTATAGTTGCTTCCTATTCCACACAGTTTATCGAATTAACTGTGGGAATTGAACGATTGGTTTGATCTACGAAAAGCAAGTTTGACTTAACAGATGATAATGAGGGTGTGAACAAACTGCGAATAAAACTGAGCAGAAACAGAATGAGAGTGTCGTTGGATCAATTTTTGACGAGGAACTTGCTAGTTTCATTTTTAATAAATCAACGATTTTTCTTGGCATCCCAGGCAGGGATAAAAATGAAAAAATGGCATTAAAATGCAGTAAAATTGTACAAAAAATAATGGTGTCAAAAAGTCACAAATAATGCCAAAAAATGCATGTTTTGCGATCCATTATAATGATTATTTTTGACTTCATGAAAATTATTTAACCAGTATCCTTAACGTTTTACTTTTTCTATCTGAAGAATTTAGAAAATCAAATGTAGTTCAACATCATGCGCTGTCTGCTAGATAACAAAGAAAAATTTTCAACGACTAATTACGGCATTATTTATTGTAGATTTTACTCAAAACAACAATGTATGGGCTATCGTATTATTGTTGTTAGTTAGTTTAAGATAAATAGCTCATGAACTCGTGAGTTTCAAATCTACAATAAATAATGTCGTAAAAATTAATTTTGCTTTGTGTACATAATTAGTCGTTGAAAATTTTTCTTTGTTATCTAACAGACAGCGCATGATGTTGAACTACATTTGATTTTCTAAATTCTTCAGATAGAAAAAGTAAAACCTTAGGGATAGTGGCCGCTTACAATTATTAATCACCTAAACATGATTGATAGCAGTCAACAACTCTCAATACTAATACATATAGTTGCGCTAACGAATGAAGTAGAGACAGGGAAACTAGAACTCATGTGAAAATATCAACCAAAAAGGCTACCTTAATTGAACTTAAAAATTTACTTTGTAACTACTTTTAAGCGTGTATTTTAAACACTTCCAAGCATAAAAATGAAAAAAAATGTGTCTCTGTACGTTCAATTTTTTAATGGCTTTGGCATATACTTCTACCTGCTTCCAAATGTTTCAGAATTATTTCTTTAAGTCCCAATATTTCCAAACTCAGAAATATTTCGGTGCATAGAAATGCATTTACAAGACTTGGAAACAAGTAAAAATACATGACATCACATTAAAAAAATGTTTAGTTGCATTCGAATATATTTTCGAACGATCCTAAATGGAATCGATAAAATAAATTTATCATATCTCGAACCGTCACTCAAATATTAACTAAATAATTTGCCGTCGTCTATGTTAAATTCAAGTATTCGTTTTATCTTCTAAAGCTGCAACAATGGGTACCGAATAGTATCTTCTTTCATAAAAATACTTAATTGCTCCTATATATCTGTATATAGCTGTCTGTTAATCATAAAAAGGAAAATAAAAACTTACCATTCCATTTTACTAAAATATTTTTCCATTTTGTTTTTTCTCAGCTGGTCGCTACGCTGTTGAAACATCGCATGAAGGAAGAATTCTGCTTTTCTTTCGTTCCTTTTCAATCACACTGCTAACTATTTGAGCTTAGGAGTTGATTTAAGTTATTTAAAGAGAACCTGTCCAATTATCTCATGTGTGAAAACAAATACAATGTTTCACGTTATCTAGCGCATTAGTAACTGTTCAAAAGTCCANTTTTTGCCTTTTTTAGGAGACAGAAAGACTTTTTTAGGAAAAAAATAGTTTTTTATAAGGCTTGACCGAAGGTAGTCGGGATCGGGGAAGTCAAATCCGTTGTCAGATTTTTGAAATTTTGCGTTTTGCCTTTTTTAGGAGACAGAAAGACTTTTTTACGAAAAAAATAGTTTTTTATAAGGCTTGACCGAAGGTAATCGGGGTCTGGGAACTCGGATCCGTTGTCAGATTTTTGAAATTTGGAGCGCAGATATTTTACATACAGTGTAACAAGAATTGGTGGCGGCTAGCCGTGAGTGGCGCCCTGTAGGGGCGCCGACGAACTACTAGTCGCTGAATGAAAACTTTTTCTGTGCGGTGGTGTTCATGCCACAGATCTATAGAAAAACGTTTTGGTGCTGGCTCACTCTTCGTCGACCGAGGCCGTTCATCAGTCGAAGGAAACAGTGAGCAAACTGAACTGCTAGGAGTATCACTGGTATGTTATCGAGCGATAGAATTCCCTCAGTTTTCATCGAAACAGACTTTTTTGAAAGAAGTCAAAATGATGTAGATGATCTGTATGATATACGGATCTATCTACGAAGTATATTATTACATGGTCACGGCTAGCCGTGAGTGGCGCCCCGGATGGGCGCCGACGAACGACTAGCCGTTTAACATAATACTGGTGGAAATCTACTTTTGGACCAATGAAAGCAATTGAATAATGTTATATTGATAAGGTCCATTTAGTTAGGACTCTTGGACGGGTGAGGATAAAGTTGATTAAAAATGATCTTTGCATGTGGCGCTGTAGGTTGTGGTACGAAGAAAGCTAAAGCGTAGTTATTCCATGAAAATGTCATATCTGGGTTTTTAGAACTAGATTTCTGATGAATGATTATCCAGTGAAGGGTTCAGTAGATGAAGCGATAAGACTCTGCAGCTAACCTGGCTATAATGCTTTTAAAATATTATCTGCTTTCAGTAGAGGGTCAGCAGCGCTTACGCTGCGTTACTTGTATATTTTAACATTTACTTAAAGGATTTATATGGATTTATATAATTTGCACACATAATTCATGAACGGTACTTAACTATTTGAGCTTAGGAGTTGATTTAAGTTATTTAAAGAGAACCTGTCCAATTATCTCATGTGTGAAAACAAATACAATGTTTCACGTTATCTAGCGCATTAGTAACTGTTCAAAAGTCCAGAACGCATTAAAAATCGTGAAAAATTTCACGCACTTTCACGAGTTTACGTAAGATAACAAAATCTCATGAATTGCTTATCATGAGACTTCGTTAATTCTTGATTTAACGCAAGTTTTCTCGTTAATTTTGAAAATCAATTCGTTAAATGCCTATTTATTTTTACATGGGAATGACGTGAAACGATGATAAAAAATGGTTTATGATATAGGAGTTATGTTAGCGAAGTTTTAATCAGTGCAAAAGTAAATCGCAGCTAGCTCGGATGAAAAATAATGTTTCTGTAGTACTGAAATTATTTACATTTCAAAAATTGCACCTTCTTTGATAAACAATACGCGACTCAGCTACGTTAGAATACAATTAACTGTTTTCGATTGTTCATTATATCTCTTGCCCTCTTACATATAATATGGATAAAACAGTAATATATAACAGATAATTCAAGCACATAAACATTTAGTTACTGTGAAAAACGAAACAGAAAAATTGAAATTAAACTTGTCCTTGAAAAATATACTCATAATCTATTGATCTTCTCATTTGGCCAATAAGGCAAGATATCCTCCTATCTATAAAAAATTTTAGAATTGGTGCATAAAGTGGACACAACCGTTTCTAAAAAAATACTCGTGGTGAGGAGAATTTATTAACAGGTAGAAGACATTTCTCATGCTCAACTAGTGAACTATATGATATCAACATTTTATGTCAAAGAAAATTTAATAAATTGAATTCTAGAAAAATCTGAATATGTAGCGATTTGATTATTCTTCATTTGAGGCATCCGTATTTTATTTAATCTCCAGCAAGAAAACGATCTCAAGTGAAGTAATTTTCTTTATATGTAAGAGACAGCGACAGATATATGGATCAGAAGAAAACTCGCAATGAAGTCCGCAGAAATTCGAATTGATAATGAAAAAAAATGATAGGTCAATGCCTGTCTGGAACATAGTTAAGATTAGAGTTCAAGCCATTTGAAACTTGTAGAAACACTTATACACGAAAATTTTATGCATTAAATTTTATATTAGTGACGTCAAACTTTATAGAAAATTTGTTTAGTTGTTTTAAGCATGAGAAGGAGAAATAACATCCTTCTCATATATTGAATAAAATCAATGAATTTGATATCATTCATTCATTCATTCTTATATATTTTATCAATTCTTTCTTTCAAGACAAAGGCTTTGAAAATTAAATAGATAGAGTCAGTTCATAATCAATGGTTCTAACGTTTGTTTTATAGATCAGAAATGCATTTTAATGACCATTTTTTCATTATTCACTAGAAACCATGCATAATATTGGTGAAAATGATTCAGTAATGGAAAAATGGTCATTTTAACAACCATTTTTCCATTATTCACTTGACAGGGATACATCTTTGATGCATTTTATTAATTTTGCAACTTCAAAGTTTGATTTTATAACGTTTGATGTTAGTCGAATACTAGAAACTCCACATGTACAAACCAATAGCTCAGATGCATTACAAAACTTTTCAATCGATCTTCTACCCAAAAAGCGTACCAGGATGATTCATAACTTGCGTCACGCTCTTCATGAAAAGTCTCTTGTTAATGGTTTCCTTTTCGCCACTGTAGTGTTAAAAAAATGGGTATTGTATTCGAGCTTCCCACTTTCGATTCCTTTCAAAACTCAGCAATACCCACGATCCACCATTTAGGAATTCAACAAAATTTGACGAATTCAAGCCATCGTTGTGTGTCACGCTTCATGATCGATAACTTTTATCGAATCCAAGGAATTCTACTGATGCTGAAGTTTCACTTGCTATAACGCAAAAGATCGATGGAAATCAAGGAAATCACTATCGTAATAAAACAGAAATTTCACCTCAGCGATAATTCATACTACCAACCAGCAAAGTAAGCCATACTACTGAAAACTTCTCAACAAATATACAATAACGACAATGGCAAAAAAACATGCATCGTCAAAACACCCATTCTATCGCAACCAAAGCACGGCACCTTCATGCTATTTTGCAAACTTTCTATTAACAACAAATCGTCTAAACCAATCGCACTCGGGCACGTCGGAACTAGGACTTCTCTACTGGCGATGAAACTGCAACATAGCTCGCACGCTTCCATAATCGCGATCTATAAGACATCGGAATTCCTGAAAGCGCCAAACAACTACGCTTCGATAAAATTACTTACAAAAAACTCTCACATGAGGATTGCGAAACATCGCCCTCATATCCATTTCAGGAATAAAAAACTAATCTGTCAACATCTCAATCTTCTTAGTTGACTATAGCCGCAATACACTTGATTCTGAAGTCATACCTGAACGACAAAACCATAGATTCCCCAACGACCGTACAGTATCCAAAGCCACTCTATATTTCAATTTGAAATCTCCTTAAATCGATTCATTTCCCACAATGCAAATCCCTACGAGCGATCCACAAATAGAAAACACATAGAACACGAGAATTTCTTAAATTGCTACATTCTCCTTGATGTTCTAGAGTTCCTTGATTTCCTCGTATTCTCTAGAAATTGTGGATAACAAAGCGTGAAACGGAAGGATCGCTTGAATTCCTAAATGGTAGATCATGGGTATATCTCTCAAAAATCATCTCCAAAAAATTTGAATTCCATCGGTTCCTCAGTCACCAATGTTATTTTGACAAAATAAAGCTTACATTCGAATTTCTCACGCTCAATGAGATAACTATATGATGCAAATGAATTAGAAAATAATTCAAAATAAATGAATTATATCATAATTCTCTTTCAAATATTTTCTATTAATGTTGGCATCAGGGTCTACTAGGGTCTACTAGGGTTTACTAGGGTCTCACAGGGTTTACTAGGTTCTACCAAGGTCTACCACGGTCTACTAAGATCCTAAAAATATATGGGCTATGGTGTGGATGTTTTCGATGTGTGCATACGCCCTTCCTCACACCCACACCATGGCAGACCCTGGTAGACCCTGATGCCAACATTAATAGAAAATATTTGAAAGAGAATTATTACATAATTCATTTATTTTGAATTACTTTGCAATTCAATTGCGTCATCCATTGATCAAATTGTACTGTAAAATTCTGGAATGTTCTTATTGTATGATCTTATGATATTCACGTAGGCTCATAGGATCAATAACTGCGCTATGTATGCATTTTTTTGCGCGCGCTTTAATCTCTACTTGTGTTTTTAAAGGAGTGTGTTTTCTTCGGATAAGTATGCTTTGTTTTATGGAAAAGATATGACCCTATAGCTTATCAAATACGAATTATCAGCAAACAGACTTAAATTGAATTTATATCTTAGTGAAATAGAATTCTAATATTATAGTTCGAGTTTAGGTAAAAGTAATTCGTATAATGATATCAAATAAAATTAGTTTTATCCTCAGATTAATTTAAATGATATCTTGAAAAATAGAATAATCAAATAGAGCAGAGTTGCAACCGGTACCCGGAAACGGCTGGTCCGGCCTAGGATTCCTTACCAGCCGTTTTACTGACCGGTAGAAGCGATATTTTTCAGCCGGGCCGGCCGAGAAAAGTTTTCTGTTGTTTGCTTATGTTTTGGTGATTGTTTTAAAAAATAGAGCATAAAACTATTTATTTTTGCATGTCAAACAAATGTTTCTCATATCCATGGCACAGTACACAAAGAAAATGCAGTAGTCTATGTATATTAAGTCAATAGTTATGCAGCTAAATTTTATGTGTTTTATCTGACCACTGTATTATCAGGTTATATGTTGGGGAAAAAGCAGAATCAAAATTTGTTCTTACAATTTATCGTATATTTATTTCTATTTTGCACTGCTTTGTATGAATTATCTACTCTTATTAGAGCTATCTTCTACAGCTCCATCTGTGTTTTCTATTCTATTATCACTATATAACAAGAACACGATTGTTTGAATTTATTTTATATCTGGCTATATTATATTAAGCCCCATTGAGTTAATAGTGTCCTGACGATTTAAACAGTTGTTGGATAAAATGAAATATTATACCTTTGCCATTAGAGTGTCTCTTATAAAATGCACCAAAACTCATACGCGCAATATATATTTCAATACTAAACACTATATAGTTAAGAATTAACAAAAAAAACGTTGACTAAGCACCTAATTAATTAAGCTGAAGTGTGGAGTCTTTGCTTTTCTCTTTTAGGCAGCTGCCCCATGTAGTTCACGGGTCGTGTCCATAAAGAAAGCCAGCATATCAAAATAAGTGCCTAACCATTTTCGGCATCGAAATATCAGTCTCCACACTGAACGTATGTCAAAAGGAATACTTTCCATAATATCTAGAGCGAGTAATTATGATAGGATAAAGTTTTCTGCCACTACCTTGCTTGTGCATTGATAATCATGCGTGAAAAATACTTCTTAATGATGAGGCAGAAGTCTGACATAGTTACTTTAGTGATTCAGTGTAAGATATGACTCATATAAGATGAGAAAAATTACTAATGATGCATGCCAATCTACCGACCGGTACCGGTACTGGTCTAGAAAAAACCCTATCGGTTGCAACTCTGAAATAAAGATATAATTTTAAATAAAACTCAAAACAGTTTTCGATATCTAAAACAAAACTGAATATTCAGAGATGTATACTGATATTAAAAAAAATAATGAAGAAGAAATGCAATATAAATACGTCTGCTACTAAAGTAGTATATAAAATAAATATAACGATTTTCTCGTTCTTATATAGGTAGTCAGGGCCATTGCTTGATTTCGTAGTAATCTACTGGTTCATTTGTACCAACCAATGTCTTATTTAGTACAAAACTGCGAATTATAAGAAATAAAATAAGTCAATTTTATTTTTTCTTTACTTTAAAATAAATTTAAATTATTCATGTCATTCATCTCAGTTAAATAAATTAAAATATTAAATAATTTGATTAAAAAAATATAGAAGAAAACATTCGAATACAAGCAATCAGTTTTTAAAATACTCCAAACTGAAAATAAATTAGTTCTGAAGTTTTATGTGACACATCACTGAAATCAACAATAAACCTAATGAGACGGATGAGTATAATCCGTATCATGTCTCAACTTAGAAAAAAGTATGTATTTTGCCATTTTAAAAGATCGAACATTTACATTAGAACATACAGCCAATCGATCAATTATTCCTTTGAACGAAAGAAATCATCTCTTATTTGCACCTAAGTAACGTGAAGTTATTATCTTGTAGCATCATACAAGATCTTACAACATCTGATTATTAGTAGGATCTTATAAGATTTTATATGAGCTGCGTACGATTTTTCTACCGGGGCATATTCATTTCAATGAATTTCTTACCGTGTATCTTTTTAAAAGTGTAAAAGGTGAACTTCTATGGTTTATCGATCACTAATCTTAAGAACATAAGTGATTTATAAAGAATGTAGAACTATGGTCAGTTAGATTTTTCGATGCTTTTATTAATCGTGGAAGTGAGAGTTAACCCTTAAAAGCCGAAAACCCTCATTGCGGTATCAGGAGGAAAATAATTATCAAAAGTGAACTATTAAGTCCTCAGTATACGCATAATATCATTAGAACGAACTACATTGGTCTTCTTCCCGAGCCACACGTTGCTCTATACCAGAAACATAGGATCTCAAAAAACTCTGCCAGAGTGTAACATGAGTTGAAACTTTGCTCATAAATAGTTCTTGCTGCTGTTAATCTGCCCTGAAATTTTCAGTGAAACAGGATGTTTTGTCCTTGAGAAAATGAACGCGGAAAAAATTAGCAAAATTTTGCAAAAAATTCCTGAAATTCGGTATTTGCTAATCATATTCTATCTCTTGAAGAAAACAACAGTTGTTATTGAAAAATTTAGAGCAATATATATAGCACATGAGCTATTTATGGGCAAACTTTCAAGTCAATATGCCTTTATTTTGCTGGTTTTACAATAGGGATTATCCGGTTGTTGCAAGATTTTCTGTAGGACAGTCTCCTGCATCGGTAGAATGAAATACAGTTCAAAAAATGATTTGATCGCATGCCTTGTGACTATCTTTACGCATATCGATTTGCAAAAGGAAAGTCAAGTGTCTTGCTTTTTGATAAAGGGAAGCTGAAAAATAAAGAGTGATTTTGGAACTGATTGGTTTCGGAAGATCTCCGGTTTTGCATAAAATTTAACCGAATATTATTTTCTTGTTGTTTCAATATGATCGTTAGAGTCTTGTCAATTCAGAAAATTTTTAGTTTCTTCCAAGAACATCTTATATTAACTTCTGTTGTCCATATACTAATGTCCCTTGAAAGGGACATTCGGCTTTTAAGGGTTAAAGAAGGCCTATACATCCACATCATACGAAATTAAAACGGATCAGAGTTCAAATCATATTCACTTCTCTTTTGTTATTTAATTTAAATTAGGTGAAAGAACGAGTATATACAGAACTGCATCAATTATTAACTCAATTAAAAGATGACATTACAAAATACAGAAAAAAAGAAAGAAACAGCGATATATTCATTGAATGTGGGGAAAAAAATACAGCAATGGATGGTGGTTCAATGTGGAGTTCCCTTATTGAACTTCTATGTAATTTACCGTATCCAGAAGATAGTTGTCAAAAACTGGTGAATACATTAAAAGTTTATTATGCCAATGCAGAAAGTACACTACGAATATTGGATGAATTCGAACAATCTTATAAACCAGACAAAGCTATCTGGTGGTATACTCGTCCTATATTTCTTTGTGGTATTCTAAATAAAGGGATGCGTCAACATAATATTGAATTGATATTTTTATTTGGTTTCTTCATTCAAGATCTTTATCGGCAATTGAAGCAAGAACATGAAAAATATTCAGAAAGTTCAACAAAAGTTTATCGTGGACAAATAATGGATCAAATCGAATATCTAGACTTTGATATTTATAACACTCAAAACGTCAATAGTTTTTTTTCAAGTTCCTTTGATCGTCAAGTAGCATTAGCTTTTCTTCCTGAACGAAATCAAATATCACCTGGAACTTATCGTGTTTTATTTGAAATTGAATTTAAGTCTCGACCAAGAACACGTCCTTATGCAAACATTTCACATTTAAGTTTTTTTCCTGAAGAAAATGAAATTTTGTTTATGCCTGGAATAGGTTTTTGTGGAGATATGGACGAAGAAGACTCATTGAATGACAAAAATGAAGATGTTTCGATGATTAAATTATATTTAGACGATGACTGGGTGATGAAGGATGAAAACCATTATCAAGGTTCGAATAAAAAACGAGTTTTAAAAAATACCATCAGTATGTATACCGGTAATTTTCGGTCTGCTTCAAATGAAAACATAAATTTAATATATGATCAATTAATCAAATTATATCCAGCGGAAAAACAATGGATTTTAGCATGTAAATTCGATTGTCTTGCACTGAAAAACTCTGGTGATGCAGAAGAAAATTATGAACAATCATTGACTAATTGGTACAAATGTTTGGATAATAATGATGAATTAAATTGTCATATAAATATCGGAGAACTTCACCATCAAATGGGTATACACTATCAATTACGACGGTCCGACTATTTTTCTAATGAATTGTTACGTGAATATCATTTCGATTTAGCTAAAGAATATTATGATTTAGCTATTAGATCATTTCAGTCGGTCCTTGAAAAACGTGATCTGACCGATTGTGAACAATTCAATGTTATTGACCACTTATGTGATATATATCGATTAAAAGTGAGAATCAGCGAAGAAGAAAATAATCAAAGTGACCTGACACAAAATCTTCTATTAGCCTTAAAATATAGAGAAAAAGAAGTCGAAGGTCTGAAGAAACTTTATTCATATGATGAAGCAAGTATTGCTTCTTCTCTGAAGGACTTGGGTGATCTGTATTATAAAATGTCAGACTATGACAAAGCAATAATTCATTATGATGACGCGTTAGAAACATCTCTTCGATTGCCAGATGAATTCTTAAATCTTGGAGATGATATTATTTCCGTGTCTGAAAAATTAATTGATATTTGTATTCATCAAAAAAATAATAATGATTTAGCATTTTTTTATGAACTAATAAAACACGAACAGATATTAAAAGACAACGAAATTGGACCATACACTACTGATTCTGCACAAGACACGCGTAGAACAAAAATTATTTCAAGTCACATCGAATTAGCTGACATATACATCAGACTCTGCGAATACCATTCAGCTTCTAAGCATCTCAGAGAGGCAATAGACTTATATGAAGATATGACAACATCAACTTACAAAGATCAAGTAAATATTTCAATGATGGAAGACAAAATGAGGACTGTACAAACGATCTTAGCAACGTCAAATGTCCCAAGCGACAACATCTTAGGGTGAAGGTTGGTGAGGGTGAGTTTAACGATGAGAAATTGATTCAAGCAAATCACATGACATGTTTCGATCTTTTCCCAGAAAATCATCATCAGCTATGTTTAGAATCAATTTCAAACTACATTCGATTAGTAATGACCAATATGGAAGCCGAAAGACAATTACCATTAACATAGAGGTGTGGGTGTAAAGGTAAGTAAATTGAGTACAAGACCACACCCTCACCGGCACACCCGCCACGAACCTCATCAGTAATCTAGTAGGAACGAAATCTGGATCTTGGCATGGTTTACTCACCCACCCTCACTCTTATCCTCAAGATCGATTTGCTTATATGACTGTTTTGCAGAACTAAAATAATAAAGTATTCATATTTTAATTAAGTGTTTATTTGAAAAACTTCCAGAAATATTAGTTCTAAAAATAAAAAGAATTAATTATCTTAACATAGTCGAGCGTTACTGTATTCAATGACTGTAAAGCGTGTGTGCAGGAAGGTGGTAATAATAATCATAATATCTGGTTTACTTTCACCACTTCGATACTTATATGTCGGGGTGTGGGTGTGGGTGTGGGTGTGGGTGTGTGGGTTTGTGAGGGGTGTGGGTGTGGGTGTGACTATATCTCGAGAGACGACTAACACCCGCACCCACACTCTCAATCAAACAAGACATGTGATTTTTTTAGTGTTGTAATTAGAGACCAGCACTCTATAGATTCCATGATTTTTCGTCTGTTCTCATAGTGATACATAAGAATTTACTGATATGTTGAGGGTGTGGGTATTAGTCTATTACTCGAGCTATTCTTTCGAGATGTTGTCATGTTACAGTGAACAAAAAAAAAACAATTTTTTGTTTTTTCTTTCAAATAGATTTCAAGCATAGTTATATAATCACAACGCTGATGTTGTTCATCATCGTCTATATGTGTTCTTTTTATTTGTCTTAATTATTTGTGGTCATTCATGAATAACTTTTTCTCGATGTTATGTTTCATTTGATTTTTAGAAAATATCCATATTACTTTAGATTAATTCTTCTCATATTATCTTTGCCGTTTTACAACATGAGAATAAAGAAATTAGAATAAATGATCGTGAATTTATTTCTTGAATATCAATCATCCAAAAAACCTTTTACAATAATATTTAACAAAAAAATAGAATGATTGATGGAATTCTTTTGAACTTCGTCAATCTATTTTAGCCCATATTAAGCGAAGCACTAATCTGAACACATCCCACAGCTGTTTTTTTTTGTTCTTGGCCCGGCTACCAGATTTATCCGTTTGCAGGTTTCAAATTTTTCTGCTTCACTTTCGTTGAACGATTTCGCGCACCCTTTTCTCAACCTTATTGGTAAAGCGAGGTAAATCTCGATAGCGACACGTTGTAATGCCTTCAAATTTTGCAACATTTGATCCCAACGGTCGACATATATCCAGAAATAAATATTATTACAACAACAAAAGCCTTTAATTGTTAATGCTATTAACGAAGGCATAGCAGATAAGAATTCAACTAGTAAGTGTAATCTCCATTGCTTGAAATCAAGATCGAGACGACGAATATGATATTGCCTCCTCAAAGGTAGATAGTGTCTGCTGTGTAATTTATAGCAACCATGATCAATTTTTACACCATGAAAATCCGAGGTCATACAATCCATTTTAACCAAACGAAAGGTCAAGTTGCCATCTAAATTTCTGCCTCGTGAATAACAATTTGAACGAGCATTTGTAATTAGATTGATTCGTTGAAGAGAAGAATGATCAAATGCAGTTTTAATCATTTCATTACCGATCAACTTCGGTTTATGACTAACTAGATATAGTGTGAAGCTGATCAGTTGAGACAGTTTGGAAACCTAAATAAAGAGAGCAGCATGTTTCATCCAATTTTGCACTACATTACATAATATTTTATGACTGAGCAAATGTGTTTTTGTTATTTATTTTATCGCTTTTTTAGTGCTTTCTGGTTCTCATTTCATGATATCAAAGTTTAAATTTCACAATTGAACAAAGCATTTTTTTCTCAAAGATTCTCCATAATATGGAAAAATTTTTAACTTTCATGTAATAGCTCAAAGGTTCTAATTGAATTCTTAATTCTCAGCACTATATATTAAAATTTTGTCTAACCTCATTGATCATATTGAGACATTGGTCTTCGCACTCATTGCCATCGACGATGGTAAGTGATTTAAGATTAAGAAATGCTCCAATTGGAATAATAATACGATCAATATAGAGTGACGTCACGTGATTGGAAAGATCGTTGCCCAGAAGAAAAGGCATTTCATGATCAAGATGCAAATGCAGTTGTTGGCGTCGATCGAATATACATGATGTAATGAATGAATTAAGATTGGAGAAAGATTGAAAAATTTCTTTCATATTGAAATATTCGAAAATATCGAAAATCAGCTCGTCCGAGAGACATTCAAATGTGGAACAAGAATCTGTATTGTATAAATTCAAATGACATATCGATATTTAGATAAGCCAAGGGAAAATCTTACTTTGTTCGTAAGTTGTTCTTAGTCGCTTTGTTGGACAACAATCAATACTTTGTTCCATGTTTTCGAAAATATTTGTGCTCACAAGAATGGAAAGCAGCACGTCTCATTTTATATTCATTCGGCGACCTCAAACAATGAATAATCGATGACCAATACTATACATAATATCTATTGCTTTTTCTCTGGAGTATTGAATCATGAACTTTTCTGTTAGCTAATAGCAAAAAGTAGAATCAAGGTCACGAGAGTGAAGGTTGAAGACCGTGACCGCTTATTGGAGCAACTATACATGAAAAGAAACATCGAAAGGTTAAGAACTTGTCAAAGTGAAAGAACATTTGTAAGCAAAAAAAGAAGAAGTATATACAACACAATGTTCGAATAAAGATGACTTTGAAGGAGGAGCGCTAATTAACGAATTTTCTTAATGCAGCCACACCTCCTACAATTTCAATAAATATTGAAGTATCCGTGCAAATTATAAGAGAACATTTTTGAGACTTTTCTCTCCTCGGTTCACATTCATATTAGCTAATTATCCATTATATATGGCCCTTCATCGTATATTTTAACTGTTAGTTAATAAGTCCATAATGAAGAAAAACCAATTTTATCAAAACCTTCACAGCATCTCACTTAGATCTGCATTAAACTCTTTGTTCTTTCGACGTAAAATTTTAGTTGTGTTAGCAAATGAGAAGTAGCCGTCTATTTTGATAAATATCAAAATTTAGATTCAGTTACAAGTTGTCACACTCGAAGAGATATTTAAATTATCATTTTATGAAATTATTGTAAGCATCTTGTGATACATGAACTTGAATTTTATTTTATACATTATAGGATAGTACTAAGGTTTTTGATAAAAAATTCACTTGACACTACAAAAGACTTCAAATTTCTGAAGCAGTTTTTATTAAAAGCCATTCATTAGAGTAAATATTACTCTATATAATGCTCATATTGACTATTCATTTTCAAAAAATGGCAATTGAACGATTCAAGAAATCCAAAATTTGCTTAAACAAAACCATAGTAAGATAATCTCTAGTCTTAGCAGTTTTCTACTAATACTACTGATTAAACTATAAAAATTGTAAGAATTTTTTCTGTGATAAATACTTTCATATGGATGCCTAGTACATGAGGGGACACCTTTGAACAGTGCAACATATTTCTTCACGAAACTATGTATTTAAAAAGATGCAAAAGCTGAATGTAAGCATACAATAATGCTATAAGGTGCACCCAATGCAAAATTCAAGTAAAATTTTTTTTTTCTTTTTTCAATACATCATTTGATAGAGAAGATGACGGCGATCACGAATATCTGGTTTAAAATGTTTTTAGATGCTGTCTTGGGTCCGAAAAATTAGAAATACTTTCGGTCTCTGAAAAACCACTTTTTTCAGCGGTTTTCAGTAAAATGCAGTTTTCAGATCGAAGATATAATCTATTTAATTTTAGAAGGACATATTCTTGTTCAGTGTGAAATACTGAATCAGAATATGCCATCATTAATTTTCAAAGTGCGAGCTGTAGTTTGGAAAGGCTTCTACAATGCAGTCTTCAGAAACCCTGAGTGCCCCCTCTTGCAAACTTTTCACAGGTTTTATTTTTCAATAAAAAATCCATTTTTTTTTACGTCAATCGACTCGCCAGATCATTCTCCATCAAAGTATACGAGTAGATTTTTAAAATTTTTTTCCTTGGTTAAGAAAATCAGACTTTACCGAAAACTATGCTAAAACTAAAAACTCACTTTTCAAATTTTTCTTATGTTTCGAGATATGAAACCCAAAAGATTGCCAAGTAGGTAATCAAGCACGGAGAATTCAGTGGACACCATACTGCGAGCTTTAGGCGGTTCTCTAGGGGTTTTTTAAAGCACTTAGCTAGAGTTTTTAGGGTTTTTTCGCTTACTACTAAGATTCATGAGAAACTGAGTGTCGGGAGATACTTACTAGTTCACCAGTTTCGGTAATTAGTGGCGTTTTCTTTTTTGTAGATTTTTACGTAACAGTTTTAGTTCCAGTCAGCAGTATCTATCATGCCTCGACAGTCAAAGCGTCAACAGCATTCGAAATCGATCTCCTATGCATTTCTACGCAAGAGAACCATTGAAAGTGAGAACTGCAGTGGCTCATCCGAAGCGGGTATTGATTCAGAAGCAAACGACAGAAGCTTGGAGCGGTGGAGAAAATTCATACAAGAAATTACAAATACTGATCTGCCTGTTTTGTTTGAACTTTGCTAGGCGAAATGCCCACTTATATATCTAACTGTTTTACTGTAGATGACTTTGCGCAAGTTCGAGATCAATTGTAGAGACTGCGATATTTTTTTAAAGAAAATCGGTGGGTAGCGTTAATGCAGGTGAAATCTTTTAATCAGAGTATTCTTCTTTGGATTTCGGGTGCAATAACTGCAGAAACTACACGCAAGTGGGCTGAAGCGTTCAGCTCAAACGATTTAGATGAATTTGATTGTGAGAATCGTGGTAGCAAATATTCCGCCAAATTGTATGATTTTTCCCGGTAAAGATCTCTAGAAACTCTNAGTACAACATATTTGACATATTCGTGATCGCCGTCATCTTCTCTATCAAATGATGTATTGAAAAAAGAAAAAAAAAATTTTACTTGAATTTTGCATTGGGTGCACCTTACTATTTTAACTTGATAAAATCGCCTATTTTTACTCATGAACTAGTATTGCTCATTCTTTTTTTGTTATAATCAAAATGATGCTGCTATACAATCCAAGGCAACTGACGAAGTCTCAAATAAGTAGAGTAGATCCTGATGCTTTTTATACTTTCTCTGAAAGAAATGGCTTCTGCTGACCGATTTCACATCGTAAAATATGTTTTTTATCTATAACTTTTTTAAGAAGAACTAGTAAGTCATGCCAATACTCAATAAGTTGAAGTTAGTATTTATTCGAGCAGAAAAAGAAACTTTACTAGTCCTATTATAAATTTCCAGATGTACAACTATTAATTTATTAAAAACTAGTATTATGTTGGTGCTTTAGCGATAAGAAAAATATAATTTATAGTATATTATTGTGTCCATCAATATTGTATTGTTTGAAATGGTCTGTCTCTTTTTTCCTTTTATATCATTTTTCAGATTTTTTTACGTTCGGAGAAGGTTTTCGATACTTTAGTATGATAGACATATCAATGATGTGCTTCCAAACCTCTCACATTCCCTCACAGGCTTCCTTCTATTATGTCAAATATGTTGTACTACGTATTGTGATTAAGCCATCGCCACAGATTGCAGCTCTTTTTTTATCAAATTGAAGAAATATATATGCCTACGTAGATTGATAAATCCATGTTTTTCCGAATCACAATTCCAATATCTGTATAGACTGGTTCATACAGGAAACAAGATGCTATATATAGCACAAAGAAAGAAAAAGTTCATGGCAATGAATGAAAAGTTGAAAAAAAGTATTATAATACCATAGACTGAGATAGAGAATATCTATGGCCTGCATATAAATTACATTTAAGTCATAACATATTACCATTTTAATTAGAAAATCTTTAATTGAAATATATATCGTAAGTTAAAACGTAGTCGATATAGATCGTTCATCATCGTTGGCTAGAATACGTTGACTTGCAATGAAAAAGTAATCACAAGTGTTGACTATGTCATTTATCAAAATCCATCAAAAAATGTGCATTTCAAGTATATTCTTCTTTTTCACGCGATATCATGAACAGATCCTACAAGTAGCATTTACATTCAACACATTACAGACATGCCACTAAATATTATTCTCACTTTTATTACTCTCGTAAGTTCTTGTTTAACAATATTAATTGCTTTCACTTTGCTTGTTACATTGATGGTTTACCTACGACAAAAATGTGATGATGTTTCAATTCTTCTTATAACAAATACATATGCATCTATACTAACATTTTCTGTCGTACTTCTATCATAAACTTTTAATGTTCTTAAAGCAGATCTACATGGTATGTCAAATGCAACAGGCATGCAATTAATTTGGTATCAATTTCAAGGTTTTCTTACTTATGAAACATTTGGTTGTTGTTATATGACTTTTGTTCTGCAAACATTTTATCGATTGACACGAGTTTTGTATGTTGAATACAGATTTTTGTAGGTATGGAAATTTTACTTTTCTTATATCTATGTTTTGAGTAAGGCTAGTATTTATGTGAGCCGTATTATTACTAGTTACAGTTGAAAATGAAACAAGCATATATTATTACCATACTTTTTGCTTCTGGAACACATTTTAATAAATAAGTGAATTCATATTGTGATCGATGTGCAGCTAGCACGACGAATTTATGTCTGCTTAAAATTCTAAGCATTTTAGCCCGAACGTTCATGAACTATGTGAGGTTGCTCGGAAGAACATACCTCACACCCTTATACTGTTCTTATACATCTGTCCTGCATTGCTGAGGATTTCAAGCACACATGAATTCGTCATGGTGGTAGCTACTCATCGTTCTAGCTTCACATGGATTCGACAAAGTTCGTTTTCATTTTATCAAGATAAAAATAAACCTCTGCTTGGGCAACAGCTATTTTTAAGAAAAACTCAGAAAAATATTTGATGTTTTTTTCTACGTTAAGAGATTAGAATTATAAAACAAGTTCATTAATTTTAAAAAATGTTTCCATTATAAAAATTTAAGCATGAATGGTATATATGTCTTGATGGCTAATAAATGTTCTTTTTTTGTTCTTTTCTCTTATATTAGTAAGAAAGTATCGTCGTACTAAATGCGCATTTTCCCTATGTTATTCGTTTTGATATCTTGCCTTAGTGAATTTACTTTTTTTTCTTTGGCTGTCGAGTACAATAATTTGTTCTTCTTTGTTTATTCTTTATCTGTATTATGAACGTAAGAATACTTAAAGGAAAGTTTCCTTCAAATTTAAGCTGAGACCATCAGAATACATATGAGATCTCTTTTTTGACAGATCATTTCACTTTTTTATTCATAAATCCATTCGAAGTACTAAATAAAGGCTGTTGTAATGCTGTAGATTGATACGAAATCTTTTTCAGTAGAGGTCATAGCGTGTAATTCAGATGATACCTAAAAGTAAATTTTTGATCGATGAGCCTTACCACAGACGTGCACAGGACAGGGCAAAAAATCTTGTCTTGCGCACATCTCTGATTTTTACCTCACATTTAATCATATTCGATTAGCAAGAATAATATCCTCAGTTTCTAGCTTACAGTTAAAAGTTTCATAGACAATGACTAAAAAAATAAAACCTATGAAATTTTGACTTCTGCTCTCTTGCTTTATAAGCTGTGAAAGATATTTTGAAAATCGATGACAGACTAGAAAGAGGATATTTCACATACTCTGATAAGCATTTTGAATAATAATTAACTACGTAGTATATAGCTATTATTCTCCCGATTAATTCTTCTCAAAGAATTTATGTATGAAAAAATGTTAGGAAAAATTTTGAAGAAAGAAACAGTATTCTTTTTTACACATATTGTCACAGACAGCCTATAATTCGATCACAAAGTATAACGAACTCAATTGACATACCATCGAAGACTCAAATCAGTATAACATTTCATTAAGACATAATCTCATTTCTTGTTAAATCCCAAAGTATGAATTGAAAAATAATACAATATTCTCAATGCATGAAATAACAGCATTTTTTGTAATTAAAATTAGTAATGTAAGCATAGGTCGTGTTTGTACTCATTAGGGATTGCGTTAAGAACTCTTCAAACACCATTTGGCTATTACTGTTGTTCACATTATTCATGCTTACTAAGATTGCGTTTCAATACCATGAAAGCAATCATACGATGTAAAGAAGATAGAAAAGCATCGATATGAATGGTTATAGCACAATTAGTTAGTTTTGTTACGCGTTGAGACATTTCGTTCTCTTCACTACTACGACGAAGGTAAATAATGCTCAAATTACTAATTTGACTGAGAATTGAGAACGTATCAGACAAAATTATGTGAGGAGTGGACCACACAGACCGGGTCTACACATTACAAGGCCACTATTTTCACTGTTGTTTCTATAGGTGTTGAATTTCTTTACTGGTATTCTTTTAACCTTAGCGGCGAAATTCCCTTCACAAATTACTTTGCTATTGTCTACTGTCTATCAGTAAAAATATATTGAAGAAGTCGAATGTATTCCCAATTTTACTAGATAAATCGATTGTCTGAAGTGAAAATTAAAATATTAATTGTGGAAAAGTAAGAAAAATTTCGCAATTAAATATCATGTCTTTCTAAATAGAACATATGATAATTATTCTATTTATATACGCCAAATATGTTTTTATTTCTACATGAACATAATGAAGGAAACGAAAGAATAAGACTCCTATATTATTTCGTAAAAATGCATTTAAAAAGTTCTATTAATGTTAGATTCTTGTTAACAAGGTCACAAAGAAAAGGTCTGTAGGTAGATTGAGGTGTTTTTTAGCTATCTATTTTATCTCTGGTGGTCAATGAGCTAATATATTTTTTCTTCATCTTGATGATACTCTACAATATTGTTTTATTTCGAGATAAAATTAATTAAAATCATAATCTAGTCTTAGATTGAAATTTTTTTTACAATATAAGAATCCTAAGAGGATCACAAGATAAAAAAAGTGACACAAAACTAGCTCAATCGTTACAAAGATTCGATGATCATTATTAAGTTTAATTAAAGTGCCCTCAACGATAAAAGCAAGAAAAAAAGGCCTTTTTTAAAATTCAAGCATCGCTTGATAGTTTTTCTGGTCAAATTTAACTCTGTAGTCTTTTATTACATTTTGATGAACTTTTGGATTCGAAATTTCCATTAACAATAGACTTTAAAAAGTGCTTCATTTGCATTCAACACATCAAACTAAGAATTTAAATTGAACCTGTATCGAATTTCTGGAATACCTACCATTCTTGATTTAGATACAACCTCGATAGAAACAGTAGCAGATGATTTTGAAAGTCTATTTTTAATTTAGAACAATGAAATTTCACATTCATTAAATCGGTAAAAAGAAAAATACTCCATTTGAAAACAGTTATGCCTGTAATAAAAAAATTTCTTCAAAACATACTAGTATAAACAAAAATTCGTTTCCATCTCTTTTGAATAGGGGCACACCATCTCTCTCCCAAGATATCAAATTTAATTGAGAAAACACGAAAATTAAGACTTGTATCATTCATGATAACACGATATTTCATCGTTCTTCTCCAACAAAGACATGAAATTGCACGTTACATGCACGTTGAATTTTAAATTGTAAAAATGTCTTTTTGTTTCGAAACTTATATTTTTTCAGTACGTTAAACACACTGTTAATTAATTCATCTTCATTTTCTATATATAAAACAAAAAATATCACATGTGATTTGGTCATTTAATCTTATTTTTTAATTCGGAATCAGTACTAGCAGTAAACAGCTAGCTCAAAAAAGACTAAATATTTTCCACACCGACAAATATCTTAGAGAAATTCTTTCTTACTCCTATAAAATTCAGGAAAACAAATGAATTCTTGTTTAAGATATATATTTAAAAAACAGATATTAAAACAACTTCAGACATTATTGCAAAGAAGCGTTTTATTATCTGATTAGAGCATGAAAAAGAAATAAGTAGGAGTATATTCCTGCATATAATGATATACCCTGATTTTTTTTACTACATTCTAACATTTTTTCAATTAGGGAAATAATAGTGCTTCTATGACGGCAAGCTTTTCAGGAAATTTTGCTCTCACCTACGCTTCATCTTTCATACTGGGTACGAGCAAGTGACACAAAGATATACTATCACAATTTCAATATAAACTCACTATCCAAATTTTGTAATTAAGACTCTAAACCATTACACATTCAATCGTGGCACATAGTGATCTGCAAATTGGTCACGGTCACACGTGGCCGAGACCAACATTATTCAAAAGTAAGGAGAAAAAGACGAAAATTACTTGTTCTGTTCATGCTTTAATTGAGAAATTTAAAAAATGAAGATTATTATCAAGTTCGTATCACATAGTAAATCTAAATTTCCAACAGCAAAACAAACGATAACAAAATACATTAATGAATATGAATCGCAATTATAGTAAATCACAAATTCTAAAATCGATTTCCATACATTTTGATCAACTAAGATTAATTATTATTTTCTATTTTTAATGAATTATGATGGAGGCACACCCAGCTAAGTCTGTCACTCAATTATTATAAAAGAGTCTACGCGCCTTCACAATATATCGTTAGTTTTCTCGATTATCACCCGTAGTTATAATAAAAATTTCCTCTTCCACTTGTATCATCAATATAAAAGATTTCCTATATAAAGACTATTTCAAACTGACACAACATAAGATCTATAATACATAATAGATATCGGTTGAGTTTTGCTAGAAATAACATGATTAACGCAAATGAACAAAAAACTAACCAACATCTATTATATTCTAATATATAAAATATATTTTGAGAAATAACGAGGAAAAGTGTGTAATTCAATCTGCCAGGTAAAAAATTTATTGTAGCGATGTCTTTTGCAGAATATTTTTCACTTATTAATCATTCTGATGCCACGCACAAAAGAGTCAAATGAACTTTTTGTGTTCATGGAAAATTAATCATTTTTTATGACAACACAAGATGGTATAATGTTTTTAGTTTTTAATTACTCAATTACATTGCCTTGCAGCAGATTCGACAATCTAATGTTTTCAGCAAAAACTGTGAGTAAGATCAATCTGACATATACTTTTCTTGTGCTCAAGGGGTTTTGATTCCCTGAAGGGCCATTTAATTAAAAAGATTATAATGTAAGGAAGCACTACTGATATTTGTTTGTTTTTCATTGGATAGATTAATTATAATGATATTTCTGCAAGCTCACACCAACATCATTTATTCACCAAAGAACGACATGGAATTCATGTCATGGAAAAATCTCTCTTACAACCATGTAGAATTTCAATTAAAATGCTTTTTCTTTTTTTTTTTCATCTTCATTACTCTTAATCCATATCAAATTAAACATGATTATTATTACATATTTCATTCCCAGAAGAACTTGGTGGAAGTACCTCAGGAGAAATTTGATTTCGACGATTAGTTGTTGATGTTTTACAAGAACATAATTTGATTGATCGCCAAACTTTTTTCACTAAAACAGTTTTTTCTTGACGACGAAAACGAGATGATACTATTAGAAAAACATAAAAACTAATCTAAAATAGAATTCAATATAAAAAAGAATTATTATAATTTCAAACGAAAGGTCTTTTTTAATTTGCCGAAAAATTAGTATGCAGTAATGAGGCAGATACTGCTGAAATTAGTTCAAAAAGTGCTAGTTGCATATAATTATTTGTATTAACGTTTAAATTAATCTGATATAGAGAAATAAAAATATACGGAGAGCCAAGTGCAATGAGAACTACAATGCGTGCCAAAGTAATTGCTGTCATTTGCCGATCAAGACGTCGACGAAATACTGGTCGTTGAAGACAAACGATTCGACGAACATTTCGATAAGCTAATAAACTCGATGTTATAGTAGTAGTTATTGGGAGGACATTAGTCACAATGGGAAAATAGAAAAATGTATAATAACGTTTTGATATCGTATTGTAAATATTACAGCCCATTGACGGTTGAAATTCAAAAGCAAAAAGAGCTGTTGTGCTATGTAACAATGCAAAGCACACACCAAAACATGTTAAAGTATGGGCTATTCTAATTGTACTCTTTTTTCACCAATGAGCTCGACGATTCGTTGATAAATATTGATCAAACGAAAGGAAACATACTGTAAATAGAGAACACAGAACAAATGCTTGTAGCATCATATTTTGTATTTTACACCATACATTTGGAATTTGAGATGGAGCGTAGTCAAGAAAATAGGTCACAAATCTTGGTATATTTAATGTAAGAAGTAAGCCAATATCAGAAATCGACTCAATAGTAAAATAAAAACTAGTTGGATTTCCACGAAAAAGTCTTAGACTCGTAAAAATCAAAATAATCGAATATTACTAATAAGTCCAATGGTTAAAATGAACGTACCAGCATATAACTTATATTTCTCTCCTATATAATAAATTTGCTGGGCTTGCAATAGTTGGGACATTTGAATTTTAAGATAAGAAATGTCTATTGATAATTTTTTGTCAATATCAATTAATCTTTGAATTAAAATGTAAAAGTTTTTAAACAAATATCACCGTAGTTCAATCGATTGACTATGAAAAATTCAAAATGAATTGTCTATTAGCTTGTCTTGAATGACGAATTGAGGATTAACTTGTATGCATATTGCCATATTTGACTATGTAATGAAAATATTCTTGCTTTCCTTTTAGTGTGTAAAAGATTTGAATGTACTCATCTATGAAACCGAGAAAATTTTTTATAGAGAGAACAAAGTGTTTTCCATAAAATTAATAGAGAAGTAAAAAGGATTTTCTAGCAAACTAAGATCAGAAAGTAGGTATTGTATATAATAGACTTCTAGAAAAGAAAAAGAGCGCATCATCATTAAAATCGGTGGCATTTTTTGCACTCTAATGTATTAGTTTTCATGTTCTAGTTGACGGAAAAAAACCCTTTGTTATTTTCAATAGTTTAATCTCCTCGAAATACTATAATTTGCAATTATATGAAGTGTTTTTCTATAATTTTCATGGGTGCATTTGAATATTAAAAGTATGAAATCTAAAAGCTTCAATAATACGGCAATTTTATGGAACGTAGCAGAAAATAAAAAAGTTTTTCATCTAGATTCAAAAAGAAATATTTTCCAAATTAGAAGTATCATTTGATATCAGGATTCTCTTTGATTATAAGTGCACGTAATACTTGTGCTTCGTATACAAGACAACGGCATGATGAAGACGATATTTCTGAAGTATATCATTACTTCTTCATTAAAATTTGAATATAAAAAAATCATGATATTAGAAGTTCCTTGGTGGATACTAAATTAAACTTCATTGTACCAATTATGCAAACTATGATCTGAAAAGAAGGTTGAAATGTATTTCCATAGTTTGAATCTCTACTCCCACAGACGTGATAGGCATCTTAACGGTAGCTTGTCACTGGCATAACATATGTCTTAGCAATCATGTGTTACAAACGTGACAGACAGCATAGTTACTGTTAGAGACGATGAAGCCTAACCTAGCAATTACTGGGAATGTATTAGTTTTTGAAAAAGATGAAAAATGTTAAATGAAGCAATAATGAAAGAATACGTGTCATAGCATATGGAGTAGATTCATGTCTCAGTGACTAGCAATAATCGTTACATCACATTTCATATTTTTAATGCAAATGTGTTGCACTAACAGCCTTTTTTTCATTTAATTCTGAAGATCCAATCTTCACTAGATTAATTTTCTGTAATCCTTTTACTCTCCATCGATCGAGATCTGCATATTTGTTCTTTATTAATTAATAATGTAGAGAAAGTTCATAGAAACGAAGATACATAAGTTTTCAATGTTCAATCAAATTGTTTATATGCAACTGTATGTTTAAAACAAAACCACAGTTTGAACAAATTAAACATTTTATTTAAAAGTATACATGTGAAAAATTTAAATATTTTCATCAACAGCAATCAAACGGAAACGTTGATTAGGTCCGCCATGAAAGTCATACAATTGGACTGGTGATCCATTCTGTCCAGCATGGCTTGGAGGATCATTGTGAACATCGAGCGCTTTGTTTCTTCTTGTCGATCGCTGATGAGTAGGCCAAATATAATACTCAATAGTATTATAATCAACACGTTCAAATATTAATGTCTGATCAGAGTGAGAGTCGAGTGCGAGTGGTGCTTCAAGATTCAATGATTGTTGATAAATACAAAGTATTTTGTTTGATTGATTGTGTCGGAGACGATATTCACGATGTTGAACGTGCTCAATACGAAAAATGCTCTGTCCGAGTTGTTTACTATCTCCCACATAGACTCGATTATTTTTTCGAGCAATTAGAAGTTTGTGTCTAAAAACATTTTCAATTTGGTAGAATCCATCGGTCATTTTCGCACTACGTTGATACCAATTAAGTATAGCTATGCCATCGCCATCATCTTCCGTTAGATTAATTGTTAGACGATGATAGATGAGTTCTGGTCGTTCTTCCAATCGCAAATAAAGAGATTTTTCAGGGTTCCAGTAAAGTTGTCTCTAGTTAAAGAAATAGATTAAATCATATTTTCTTGTGAAATAAAATGTATTAGATTATCACGCAAAAATTCTTTACAAAGAGTTGTTATTATCTGACAACATACAGAAGTATAGGTTGCTTTATTTGAAAAACAATTATTTTGTTATTCAGACCAAGAAAAAGAAAGAAGACGTTTTATTCCATCTTCTTAATGTTTAATAGCTTAAAGCTTCGAAATCGTACTTCATATGTTCGAGAGAAGCCTAATTTTTCCTAACATTGATCAGAGAGATTAGTCTCAACACTTGTTTTGAGACATAATAAGAGTTTCAAAAACTAAAAAGAAACTAAACTCATTCTTGCTTTTATACTATGCTCATTACATACTAAAAAATTGGTTACGGTTAAGGAAGGTCATTTTGTTAGATTAAATTTAAGTTAGAATTCTCTTCCTGATATGTAGTAATGTTAGTTAATTTATAATTAATTCAATTTTTATTTATATATATATATGGGTTATAAGTAAAATGCTAAAATTGAAATAAAATAGAATTGAATTATAGAGTTTAAAAATCAAAATCAAAATGTAATTCTATTACGTAAATTTAGCAGATAAAATAAAAATAAAATAAATTAAATTAACATAAGAATAAAATTAATAAATTAATATAAAATAAATTCTAATAAAATGTTAAATGAATAAATTAATTTGATGTTACTAAGATAAAATTGAATTGAATTCTAAATATTAGCCAATTTAGTTAACGTTTCGGATCAGAGTTGTCATTCATCAGAACTTCGATGTTAAACATATGATTTTCACAATAGTTATATTTTCTTTTCTTCCTTTTCTCTGTGCATATGATAGTGGTACGGAT